GCTTTTCATTCTCTCGAGCCTTTTTGTGACGGTGGCTTCCTGGCCGTTGACTGAAATATTGCAGGAGATTGTGGCTCATTTAGGTACACTTGGAATCATGAAAGACAAACAAGTCATGTCTGAAACCGTTAACGCGAATTGACGGAAACGCTGAATCGTCGCCCAAAGCGATTTGAATATTAGATGTTCATAATTGCGCGAAATGACTCTCTTGAAGTATCAAAACATGGATGGCGACCAGTACTTAGAGTTTGTTCTTTGTTCTGTAAAATTCGATTACCAAGTTTAAGGGACAAATTTGTCACATCCAAGTGGTAAAAAGCAACTTAAGATCAGAAAAACAGTGAACTCTGGACTTGCAGACCACAAGATTTTGAACGATGGAATATTTATGAGAGATTGTTTTAGATGTAAGTTGTTGAGTCACGAACGGAAAACACGCTCTTAGCTTTATGCTGTCAGCTGATAAATCTACCCGAGTGAAAATATCGTCCTTGATTTATTTAGTTGTGCTTAAAATGGGCAATAAAAGTTCGTATTCCTGGGCTAATTTGCTTTAAGGAGCACTTCAACGTGAAGTTGTTGAGCTCAGTGGACGAAAACGGAAAGAGATGTCAACTGTTGCCCAATATTAGGCACGCTACATTAGTTTTGAAAGGGAAATGACGCCGTCTAGTCCTCGATGTCCTAAGCTTGATTAACGATTATTTAGCTAATGGATGTGTATTTGAAAGAAAAGTGTGTTTCGTGTCCTGGGGCTGTGGCACAGATAGCGTTTTTGTCCAGCATACATTAATAACTTTGATTTGCGGCACGAAAGCCATGAAAAGTCACGCGAGGTGCGACTGTGATTTTCGCTGGTTGAAATAAAAGTTTGGGGTTTCGGGAAGATTAATAAACGTGTTCTGAGGCCGGATATGAGACAAAGCATTCAAAGAAGGAAGGAAGAATTTGACCGTTTCTTGTCATTGACCTCTCTGAGCGTGGACACCGGCACGTGCTTCGGAATTAGTCATTCTTGTATAATAACCTTCATTTCTGACTTTCCACGTTTTAAGACTTAGCTGACTTTATATTGATTAGGGGCCTTACTTGCATGGAGTTTCTCGTTTATATTTTTCTCAATGGTCATAAGAAATGAATACTCATAGAATGAAATAGAGCAGTCATCTAGCGTGTATACAGGGTAAATGATGATAGCCATCTTGACGACAAGTAGGTGGAAAAGGCGGAGTTATTTACTTCTGAGACAAAGATAAGTTTCATTGATAACAGGATTCAGGTCAGATAATCAGAAGTGGGCTTAAAGAAGTGTGGAACGGAATAAGGCAAACGATGGCCGTGGAGAATCGTTTATTGCTTTTGAGAACATGTATTAAATTAATAGCGTGAGTGATGTTCGTTGTTCTCTAAGATATGGGATTTCAACTTCCTCTGAGAAAAGTTGTTGATGTAAACGCCAAGGTTATTTCCGTGACCTTTTGTCTTGGAGCTTTGTCGTTGAAAATATTCAAAATTATTTGAACCAAAGCAGAAAATTAAAATAACTGTAAGATCCTAATCGTTCTAGTGAGCTTCGATCGATTTTGACTTCATACGAAGAAGGTTTTCATAGATGGAAATTTTTAACAAATTTGCAATGATTGTGACACTTCTGTAATTTTGTCTGCTCCTCGTCACTTTTGTTTATCCTTACCAAATGAGTCCGGATGAATAGACAATACTAAAGTAAAGCCTTATCTAACCCCTGCCAAACTACTTAAAGACCCTTTAAGGGGGTTTGGGGAGACAGCACTTCCTGTGATGACAAACAAAGAACAGGCGAGGATCTAGTGTTCGAGTAAGAGAACACCCTGTCGAGCAAGTCGCGGGAAAACAATGTGTTTTGAGAGCTGACCGATCTAATTTTGATTGGGATTTAATTAGAATACTTTGTTTTTAATTACAGTACCGTTCCTAAGGCGGGACCCTATTGATGCTATAGATTCTAGATTGCATTTTCTTGCGGACGTATTCTTAATCTGGGTGGGAAAAT